TATTATCATATCGAGCTCATTCAGGAACAGAAACAGTCGAGAGGAGTCCGTGGATCAAGGACGAACTTCGTTTGGCCGTAATCTGCCCTTTCTGTTCCTGATACGACAGAACCGGCCTGCAGATGAGAACCGGTTACGGACGCTTCTCAAGTCAGTGTTCTTGTACAGGAAAGTGCTTCCAGTCGGATTTTGGACGACCATATGCACATACAAAGAGCCTCAAAGGATGAGAAGTCCCGTTCCGAAGAAGAGAGCGTGTCAACACCATGATGCACACCTAGCTTTCTTCACCTCCCCGGGCACTTCCAGAGAGTGGGTTTCGTTGACCCGGTTCTGGAACCCCACGAGTTTGAGGCGACCTTCGCGAGGATCCACTCCCTAGATTCGGGTGTTACGGTACTTGTGACTTGATTGAAATAGAGCAATTATCGCAGGCGTGACTGATTTAGTTACTCTTGAGGTCTCAACGATCGGCGTCTGGGCAGGAAAGATCAGACTTCGGATCATCCATTTGCACATATAAGTCGGTTTTGTAACTATTGGTGACTCAAATCACACCGACAAAGGCATAAGAGAGGACACGCCGCTGGCTTTTGGCAGAGCGGGGTCGAAGTGAATCATGAGTCTAGGACCGGCAAAGCTGTTGAATCTTTTTTAACGAGGCAGAGTAAACTTATAAGCCAAACCCTGGGGAAGATTTGTCTCGTCCGGTTTGGAGATAAGCCTGAATTTGCTCTTAAAAACCTTAAAACCCCAACACGCGGTCATCCCTTCCAACAGCATCCTCGGCCTTGGTCTCAAAATCACAACAGTGATTCTCCGTCCCCCCGCACGCTCTGGCAAATTGGCAGCATCAGCCCTAGCCTGCCACCCCAATCTGTTGTCACAAATTAATAATTCCGGACTGCCTTATCAGAGACCCCGTAAGCGCTTCACGGCGCTTTGCTGACACGAGTGACTCAATCGAACTTCGGAAAAGGCTCGCTCAACCGCCCACCAACACGATGCGAGATCTGCTTTATCAGCCGGCCGGCAGTGCATTCGGGACCTCGTTCGGCGCGTATGCACACTGCACAAGCAAGGAGTGCTGGAATCTGATAGTATCGGGCTCCGCTGTATGACGTGACAGCTTGCGTTGTCACGACTGTAGGTTAGTGGATTCCCTTTCCATTTTCGATTCCGAAAATCATGTTCTGGCCGTTTCAATTCCGCTGAATGAGCGCCGCCTCCGGTTGCGAATTTCCCACCCCTTTCAGTCACGTCAAAAGAATCTTCAATTGGGTGATCGTACCAGTGGAAGAGGAGTTCCCGATTCTGAACCTTCTTGATCGACCCGGTTCTGCTTTGCTGGTCACATCTCGAGGAGAAAGCGGGAAAGGAACCGTATAGCCGACACGCTCCGACTGATCCCAATCGTCCCATGTGGGCGCTAATCATAGGTTCGTGACATGGTCGTCAATCCCCCACAATTTGCCGATTCATAAGGAAGGAAAGCCAGCAGAAGTTTCTTGGCAAGCGAAAGCCAAGTGAGCTTCTTGTTCTTCGGGCTCTTTTCGTTCAAGAGGATGAATTTCAAGGTGCCAGTCACGCACCGGCTTTTCTGAAGCCGACTCTTCTCTCAGAGCTTCATTAGACCTCACTAGAATGAGTCAAAACGTTCTGCAAGAAAGAAACTCTCGCGGTATCTCACTCTGTTAAGCAGGATCCCCTTTGGTTGCGTTTTCGAGTCGCCCAGATCCTGGTAGCGTTTTAAAGAGTTTCGTGGCACTTCTTATACCTGATTCTTCAGCGCTTCTGCCTACCCAGCTCAGGGTAAGTCATCTTCTCATGATCATGTTGGAGCCATGTTATGATTAAGGGCATCTGCAGCCTCATGAGTTTCTTTCGTGGGAAGAATCCCTTCTACTCAATGTTCAAACAAGGCGAATTTGACCTGCGACAGTCAAGCTGATTGGAACAGTGTATAGGTATGTCACATGAGCATGGTGATCCTGGCCAGCCCTTTTCACTGATAACAGATTCTCAGCTTGACGAAAGAGACTTTGTAAAGCCCGGCCCCTGATTCTTTCTTGGAAGTCCATTTTCTGCAACCTCTTCAGAGATCTGCAACATAACAAACGTGCAAGGGAGAACTCTTTTTCAATCTGTGTTAACGCAAAGCAGACCTTTCAAGTTGTCACATACAGGCTGTGATGAGGTCTGCAAGACGGACACCTCAACATCCTTGAGAAAGAACCGAGAGCCATTCCCCCCCCCCTGAAAACCCTGGAGAATTCTTCGTTCTCCAGGCAGTCACCACCCACGCCTGAAGCGAGGCAGACAGCATGACGTCACCCGACCACCGCGGCCGGAAGCTGGGCCCAGTGCCGGAGGACCCGACCGGGGAGAAGGACTCCCGGGAGAGCTCGCGGCCGCTCTCCATTTTTGACGCGCGCACTCCTCCCGTGACGTCATCCAAGTCCCGGCAGGACTTCACCCGCCTGGTGGAGGACATGGAGCGGCGCAAGTCGGCTTCAACCGGGCGCCAGGAGACCGCCCGGCCGAAAAAGAAGCTGGAGGACGCGCCCGGTGAATTTTCGCCGAGCGCCCCGGAGTTCCCCGGACGCGCTGACGTCACATCCTCGGCGACGCGCCTGGAGCTGGAGCGCCTCCGTGCGAAGCTGGGCGACATGGGCGCCGGCGCGAGCGGTTCGGGGTCGCCCGGAACCGCCCGGGGCTCCGATCACCGGGCGCCTGTGACGTCTTCGGCGACCCGGTTGGAGCTAAACCGGTTGAAGGAGAAAATGGCGCGGGACTCCATCTCCAGGGGCGGAACGCGAGCGGAAGCTGGGCTTCTACGAGGAGAAGTGGCGGGCGGAATCGGTCGAGCGGAAAGTGGAAATCAAGACGCTGGTGCTCAAGGCACAGGAGCTCGACGTCGCGTTTCTGGTCGACTGCACTGGAAGCATGGGGGTAAGACTAAAAAGGTTCGACGAAATCTATTCGGTAGAGATCTCTGTACTCTGCCTCTTTGAATGCGGCAGACTATCCCCTTTGCGACCGCAAGCAGACACCGCAGAGAGAGCGATTCTGAGACTTGAAGCCTATGGTAAAGTCACGTCTTTTTCCGTTATTCAGGTGCCTGGCACTTTGAGTCGCCACCTCAATTCTCTCTCGTTTTCTTCTTACAAAATCTTCAAGGAAGTCTGCAACCCTTTCGCAAAAGTGGGAGGATTGGAGAGCCCTCGCAAACGTTCAGCAATCGTTTCTGCTGTGACCCCAATCCCAACATGTTACGATCTTTCCCAAGCGCACCCCGGACCATTCTCTCTCGAACTCTGCTTCTGACGAATACCTTCTTCCTTAGGCGTCCATTGAGCTGGTAAAGCGCGAGGCGCGCACGCTGGTGCGCGGCATCCAGGAGGCGTACCCCGCGGCCGTGCTGCGCGTCGCGTTCGTCGGCTACCGCGACTACGGCGAGGAGACTGACGTCATCGACTTCACCCCGGACTTCGTGGCTGACGGCAGCGCTTTCGTCACGGCGCTCGCGCGCGTGCGCGCGATGGGGGGCGACGACGCGCCTGAGGACGTGTTCACGGGGCTGGAAAGAGCGGCCGCGCTGGGGTGGCGCGCGCAAGGTGAATTTATGGACTCGCTTGTTACAACATCGAAATGTTTTGCATCCTCAAAAGTGCGTTTTGAACGCTTCTGTGGCGTCGAGCTCGATTTGGAAAAGCGCAGTTACTTCTGAACTTACTCCTGCCTACTCGGAAAACATATCACTTCGTTTCAGCAGATTAGTCCAGATATTAGCCTTTTGTCGCGTTGGAAATGCTTCCATGGCTGCATTCTAACACGGCACTGACTGCAAGGTACTTTTGAGAGAAGCCGTGTCAAGTTCGTCTTAACCACGGAGTCTGGTCCGACGCGAAGGGCGCTTACCTGGTTTTAAGCTTGCAGGAGAGAGTGGACTTCAGAAAGCGGCGCTCGGAAGATGAGCCCATGAAACTTCTTTGACATCGAGCTTCATCTTTACATTAGACGCCGTTTTTCAACACCGAGTGCGAAGTAGATTGCATTCTTCTCTTTAAAACGACTTAAATAGAACAAATATATGCTTTTGTTCTCTCCCTGCAGGCCGCCTTTTGGTTCACATTGCGGACGCCCCCTGCCACGGCACCGACTTCCACTCCGGACTGTCCGACAACTACCCGGGCGGCGACACGCGCGGCCGGAGCGCGGCCGCGCTCCTGCAAACCCTCCGCGCCGACTGCCACGTGTCCACCTACTTCTTCTGCCACCTCAACGACACGACCCAGCAGATGGTGGCCGTTTTCAAGCGCCTGGCGGACGGGCCGGGGGGATCCCCCGGGGAGGACTGGCTCCAGGACGAGACTTTTTCACACCTGCAGAGCATAGTCCATAAGGTGGTGCTTCTGTCCCGGGAGACGATCAGCAAGACGCTATCGACAGTCGGGAGGGGCGGGCCGGCGCCAAAGTTTGTGCCGGAGGTGGTGGTCTCCCGAGTGCCCAACTGGGGGTTCTTGCACCGGAGCTACGCTGCGCGGGAGCTGAAGTACAAGTGAGGTCTGGCCGGGGGAGAAGATTGACCGGGAGATATTTCGGAGTGCATTCTCCGGTTGCACCTCGACACACAAATGAGTTTCTCGGCTCAGATTTTACCGTATACAAAAGCAAGTCGGAACGCTTCGGTCCAAACTCCGCGGTTGCAAAGTTTTCTGGTTATTGCTTTCGAAAGCAATCTGGAGCGCAATGAATGATTTCTCACCCCGCATCATGCCTGCCTTTCATCATCGACAACCTGGTTTGCCCAGAAATTTTACCGTCGAAGATCTGTTTTGCCCAGATTTTTCAAGCGGTCCCCCGATAATCATGACCGTATCTTTCATTCTGCAGACAAGAAAGCTCTCTGGAGGCGACTTTTCAGCGAATCATCGATCGCGAGCTCTTCGAGACGGAGCCCGTCCGAACCGCGACCCTCAAGTTCGGCCCGAACCCGTTCTCGAACGACGGCGCCATGCGCTGGCCGTACTACGCCGTGAGCGCTGACGTCAGCAGGACACGTGCTGACGTGGGCGATGACGTCTTCGTGGTCAAGCGGTTCAAGCAGCCGTCCGGCGACAGCCCAGCACGGACTCACTCCAGGGAGCGGTATCTGCAGCAGATGGAGATACAGACGGTGTCGGCGCAGCTGGCGGCGGAATTCACGGCGCGGATCGCGGAACTCCGCTTTCCGCGGAAGGTGTCCTTTGCGGAGGTGACGATGCTCGAGGTGGAACACGGCGGCAGGTGAGGGCGGGGGAGAATCTCCCGTGCGACGTTTAGGATGCCCTCAAAGTAAATTCTGCCAAGGATGAAGTAATGGTCAGTTGGTTCGAAGAAGCGTATCCAATCACTAAACAGATTGCGACCAGTTTCCAGCCAGAAAAGAAGGACAGGGCTCCCATTTGATCTTCGCCAATCGTTTTCCAATCATTGCTGTGCATTCGTGGGATGCCGGTCGTGTTGCAGCGCTCAAACGTCAGCAAATCAAGGCCAATGTGCAAGAAGAAAGTCAGTGAGAATCCCTGAATGTCCCGGACGCACGATCTGTTTGATGGCAACCATTTTTCAAGAAAGGTTTGTTCCATCACAACATAGACTCCTGGACCAGAACAGTCTGGAACGTAACGAAGCTTCTTTCTTTAGAAGCAGCTAGCCCGATTGATTTTCTGGCACGTCGTCTCACGTTGTGAGGCCCCGGCAGCTGAATCTCCAAACGACGCTCCTCGTATCTACTATATTGCAGCAAGAAGTACTACACCAAGGAGCCGCTGCTGACCGGGGCTTGGATCAAGTATAGCAGCAACGCGGGCTACGTGAACACGCCCGAGTACCGGGCAACGCTCCACGCGTTCTCCCACTGGACCTTCCACGTGTCCCGGGGCCTGCTTATGGTCACCGACCTGCAGGTAAGACCCATCCTCGAGCTTCCTGTCAACTGCTGTGTTCTGGATAACTCTCAAGAAAGATAATAGTAAGCCAAGGTAATAGTAAGCCAAGATAATAGTAAGCCTCGACTAACACTAAAAATCCCAACCTTAAATGAAATACCCGCTCCGCAGCCGTACCCACCCTGACCACTATACTAACCCTACCCGTCACAGTGCGGTTACCTTACTATTATCTGGGCTTACTATTATTTTTCTTGACTTTCATGTGTTCTGGGACTTGTTCTTGGCTCTCAGTTCTATACATTTTGGAAAGATGAAGGCGAAGGGGCTGAGGATCAGCGCCCTGCACGAAAGTTCCCAGCCAGTTTGTCTCCAGCCGAAGGTCGTTACGGACATATACTACCCTCTGCGTATACAGTGTTCACGATCAGATTCACATACGAGAAAGCCTATGATAAATTAAGGTTCTCGCCAGACTCTCTGCCCGTCCTTGGTCCAACTTCGAGTCCTTCAGAGTTGGCATGGACATTCGCTAAAAATGCACTCTTTGCGTGCAAAAACCGTTGCTCCATCAGTGGACGAAGACTACCACCGTTCGCTCCGGAAATGCGCACTTTGCCCCTTCTGCCCAGGGCGGTGAAGGTGTCTCGCTCACTCGAACGGTCGAAAGTCGGCGATCCCTTTGGAACAAGAGCAAATCCCAACCAAGCACTCTGAATAGCACCCGGGTCGGATATATCACGAGGAGACGCCTCATGAATCTCTCCTAGTGCTTTCCTTTCAGGGCGTCCGCACTTCGGGCCCGGACGGGCAGCCGGTGTTCTTGCTGAGCGACCCGGCGATCCACTGTACGGACGTCCTGCGGTTCAGCCGGACCAACCTGGGGAAGCAGGGCTTCGGCCTCTTCTTCAACTCGCACAAGTGCAACGACGTATGCCGGGCGCTGCGCCTCCCCGCACCGGGGGGGCAGACTTCCGCAGGGACCAAGCTGGCGAGCGGCCCCCCCTCGTTTGCGAGATGGGGGGTGCCTTGATCGCTAGAAACCCGGGCGCATAGGTAGTAAATATAAGACTGGGGGGGGGGATTTGTTGAAGTGTCACAAGAGGTGCATATGAAGCGTGAATCGAGAGTACGGTAGTGTACAGTGGGCCGCCGCTTCAGAATTTGCCGGCAGGAGATGCAAACGTACGGTAGTGGAACGGTCCACTCATGACTGCTGCGCATATTCTATTTCAGGGTCTTGAGCAACATCAGCGTGTGGGAGCTTGTTCAAGGCCGGGCCATGGTCACTAAATGAAGATGATTTAGATTTAAGGACGGTACGAAAGACGAAGTAGAGACGTCTCTACTCAATCGTTACCTGAAGAGACGCGTGGTGTGTTGTTGCAGTTTGTTGACGTATTTGTGATCGTTTACAGCGCAAAACTTTGGAATGCTGGACCGATAGTATTGGCACGCGGCTATGCTGCATGCATACGTAAAGCTCTTTGTTCAGATTGGGCCAAGCATGTAACGAGGATTATGCGTTGTAACTAGGACTATGCGTTGACCTTGTTTGGCAACCTAAGACAACAAGTCAAGCAGTACGATCGAGATGAACTACAGGGTCCATCGAGGCCAAGGTTCTGATGCACTCAATTTCCATACTGTCCTCAAATACCTTAGGTGCTGTTCCGATTGCTATACTTTAGATTTGATGCTAGGTTATAAAGCGTCATTTTGACAGGACAGTTGGCTCGATCGGCATTTCTGGAGTATTGTACAGCGTTGTTTTCTACTCAGTCTCTGCAACAGGTCTCCTACTCGTTCCCCGCCCACTAGTAAACGCCACATCTAACGGGAGCGCCTCTTTGCCAACGCCGCAAACTGCACGTCCTGTATCGAGAAAGTTGCCCCGCTCGCGCCCGCCTGAATGTACCCAAAATTGAAGGTCTGGCCGCTCGCGAGCGCCACTTGCCAATCAGGCAGAGTTGCGGTCTGAGTCGAGTTGTTGTAATCAAACTTCCAGTACTGGTTGTACCACGGGTTAAAGTTGGTCAGGCCCATGGTTATGCCGGTTAGAGGCGCGTTCCCACTGTTGATCAGGTTCAGCTGGTACTGCGCGACCTGGGTGCCGTCGCCTTCGGTCCACTCGGTGACGACCTGGTGAAAGAAAGTTGGCGCCGGAATGGGGTCAGATTCTTTCCCTTTTTTATCGCCTGCCTCAATTTGAAAAGTGGTAATTCTGGGTCCATTTGCAGAGGAACGAGTGCTGAAAAGCAACCGTAGGACGGCTCTAACGGTTCTATTAAGCAACAGCATGAGACCAATGAAAGGTAACCTTCTGCCGTATTTTCAACAAGTAACCCATGAAGCCAGACCTCTTAACCGGCCCCCTTATGACCTGCCCACCAACGGTTAAATAAAAAAGCCAATGCGAAAACTCCGTGGCAGAGGTATGCTTATCACACAAATTGGAAATTCAGCAAGAAGAAGACACACCACCTGTATCAAGCAGACCTTAAAACGCACTTGGATACAACCATTCCCGCCATCCCACCCACCTTAGTGCACAGCTGAACCGTCGACGAGTCCAACAGCCGCCGGTGGCTCTGCCCCTGCGCCCACGAGATGCAGTTGCCTCCGGTGACGTCAGCGGCGCCCGTCGGCTCCTCCAAGATCGTCGTCGTGACCGGGGCGGGGGACGCGGGCGCATCGGTCGGCGCACCGGTCTCTACAACCGAGGCGATCACAGGGGTCGGGGAAGGGGTTTGGGGTGGGTTAGTGGGTGCCGCGGTTTGGGCATCGGTCGGTGAAGGGGTTTGGGGTGGGTTAGTGGGTGCCGCAGTTTGGGCGTCGGTCGGAGAAGGAATTCGGGGTGGGTTAGTGGGTGCCGCTGTTTGGGCGTCTGTCGGAGCGGGGGTCTGGGGATCAGTCGGGGCCGGGGTTTGGATGAGGATGGGCTCGGGGGTTTGGGGCTGCTCGGGGATCGCCGGGGCGGCGGTCGCGGAAGTGACGTCAGGGGAGGGGGTGACGTCAGCGGAGGTGGATGAGCTGTCGCCAAAGTTGGCGTCGCAGGTGTACTCGGTGTTGGGGACCCAGTTGGCCGGGATGCAGTTCTTGAGGACCACCTGACGGAAAACGGAAAGGGAATCAGGGTCAGAGGAAGGGAACCGGAACGAGAGAGTGAGATAGCGGAAGACTGCAGAGAAAGGTCGACCAGGAAGGGGTTCTCGTCGTGCTCAAACTTGTTCCTGTCGGGAGTCGACCGGCCGGGCTGAAAGGCCAGCAAGTCAAACTTTCTTAGCCGTCATTTCCAGCACAGAAAACCAATACAACATCAAAAACAGCCAGACATCTCCAGCTCCAGGCCGTAGAAGCTTTCAGCGAAGAGCTTCGGATTCAAAAACGACAGGCTGATCCTCCAAATTATCTAAATCTGTACTGGAAAGCGTGTCCTTTTTTATCCTCTATAACGTTGACAGTCAATATCTACGGGCTCCACGACTAATCGATGACAGCCTAGATCCCTTAAACCCGCGTTCAGCACTGATCGCACCGCCTTTTCACACTCTCATCGGGGGCTGTCCTCACCTGTGCCCCGGTCAGTTTCTGAGTCAGCCGCACAGAGAGGGGCCCCGGGAAGCTCTGCCCGGTGAGTTTGAAGTAGCCCCCCCAGTCGTGCGTCATGCTGATCCAATCCGGGTTACCGTCCGTCTGAACCTCCATGGCATCGGTCGTGCCCGCGCCGCCCACGTTCTCGGAGAGGATGGATAACCAGTACGGGTTACCCATAACCCGGAGCACGATGGGGCCTTGGCGGGGGCAGGGGACTCTGCGGCAGGGAGTGCAAAGGTTAGGGAATGTGTTTTGGAGCTTCCGATGATTTGAGACCATGGGATTCTGAGGTGGCGTTTGTTGGCAGGTATGAAGCTTTTGCAAAGGAAAGAAGATTGTCAGAGCCCAGGCCGGGAGATGGGGCCATGCCTGGCTGATACTCCTTCGGAAGCAAGAGACTTGCGAACTCAAAGGTTCGAAAGATGCGGACTCTTCCACTCGAGCACAGAGCGGGCAACAAACAAGCAAGCAGGAAGCTGACGTGAAGACAGGACATCACCTTTTCTTAGCACGGAAACGAAACAGTCCTGCACCCTATATTCTGCGCGCAAAGACGACCAAAAAGCTCCAAGTTAAGAAGGAACAGGAAAAATGCGGGACGAACACACCTCTCATAGGTGAGTGGAAAGTGGCCGGCTTTGACTTGCGCAAGCTGGGGGAACGCTGCGCCGCCGAGGTCGAAGTGGTACTTCCAGGGGTCGCACCAGCCTTGGTCAGGGCAGAAGTCGGTTATGGTAACCACCATCTCTTTGTCGTGGCAGAAGGTGGAGTTAATACACTTGACCTGCACGGAAGGACGATAGCTTATTGGTCACCCATACTCGCTTATTGTTTGCACTCGAGAATGAAGAGTTGGTGTTGGTGACCAGCATTTTGCTGTCCAAGGCACATTAGACCTGCTCACAACAGAAGTACTATAGATTACTGGTCGTAAACAATAGCTCATATTCCAGGTAGGAGGTGATGTGTTGGTTTGGGAATGGTAACAATCCTGGAAGTGTGGGGGCAGGAATTGCATTTTTTGCTTGAAAAAGGACACTGCTAATTGCTCAGCGATGCGTTTCAGCCGCGTAATTGCAGAAGGGTCCAAGCAGAGAATTCACCAGCTGACCATGATGGTCAGCTGCAGACCGCGTCAAGCTGATAATCCAACTACACGCGTAAAGAGACTCCAGCCCATACTGAGCTAGGCTGAGCTGGGAAATGACAGACACAGTTTATTCTCTGTCTGTGACGCGAGCAGATTGGAAGTTGAACTGCAATATTGATCCAAACTGGACTGGACCTTCCAAAATGCCACATTTGCAAAGAACATCGAGGAGCGCACTTACCTTGTAGCAAGCACCGCAGCCAGCTCCATCCTGCCACAGAGGGTAGCTGGCAGCGCTGATTTGGAGACCATATGTCTGGTGTTTTAGATCACCAAGATTACGCCTCAGTCCCAAGTAGCCGCAATTTCCACCTGCAGAGTACATCAAAGTGAATCAGCAGCTGCTATACAGAGAGCTGAATCTCAAGGAAAGACCTTTCAACCTTCTGATTCCCTTCTACCTGGCCCCTGAGGAGATAGACAAAGTTTGGAGAGTTGGAGCTGAGGGATGCCTATGCCATATGAGCTGGATTGAGAGCATTTGTCCTTGTCTCATAGTCGGAAGAGAGCAAAGGCTGCAATGTCAAGTTCTTTGTGAATTTCTAAGTCAGCTTGGGTTCAAAAGGCCTACTAAGGCGATTGATCACCATCCTGAGCTGTCCTAGCTCCTGCGCAGATTGAGAAGTCACATGTATCATTCGATTGAAGACGCTCAGCATGCAGGGACTACAGCACATTGACCTCACCGTCTACGCCATTCCCCTGCTGATCCCCGTAAAAGGTGGCGTCACCTGTGGAAACGACTCCAAATGGAGCATTCACCATCTCAAAAGCACCATAGGCGCTGCCTACCAGCAGAAACAGGACAAGGCCGCACGATGCAAAAGCAATGTTGGCCGCCATCTGAGCTCAGCTGAGAGCTGCGAAGCTGACTTGCAAGGAAATTCTTCTTTAGAATCTCTCGGATTATAAAATCTACGAAGTTTTGACTTTTGGCCTGTCTGGTGCTAGAGGAACCCAGTTGTGCAAGCCTTCTTCTTCTGGATCCCCAGCTCAAGAATAGTTGTGCCTCTGTTAGAAAGCCTCTCTTTGGGCAAACCGACACAAGGGTCTCCATGGCTGGTGAGTTACCTATGTAAGTTGCACGTCAGGTGATGAAAAGCAACCGCCTCTTCTTGCATTCTCTCGTCCCTCTGCATCAATATGCCGTCTGGAATTAGGGTTCGCTTTAGCGCGCGGGCGCCCTAATTGATCGACTCGCGGGAGCAGATCGCGCGGCCGCGCTGCAGTTAACCGTGGGGTTTAGAATCCGTGGGCGCAAAACCACATTGAAAACCCCGGTGCCGCTGCGGCCGGCTGCACATTGAGCGCCGGGCGTGCGAAACAGATGTTCACGGCCATATGACGGTCATGCGCGCAAGCTGGTGACACAACCACCAGCTATTTTTCGACATGATGGCACGATCTGACGGCTTGGAAGCTCCATTCAGTCCTTATGAATCCACATAGACGGTTGTCATTGCATTAAGCATAAGCTCTCTCTCAGCTAAACCCACAAGAAGCCTCGATCGGATCACCGTATTTCAAGGTGGTGCTTTCCCCGTCACAGTAGGAGGAAAGCGAAGCTGTGAAGCTGAATGCCTGCGGTGCAAATTAGGCGCGCCCCAGTCAGGTGATCAACCCGTGATCAAGTTAGAAAGGTAAGGGATGTTAGCTGGATTGAACGTGCTGTGCATTAACATCAGGGTCTGAAAGTGCCTCTTCAGGAGCTGACTACAGCTCCGCGATAGTACATTTGTGCGCTTGCTCGCCTCTACCAGCATGATTCTCATATAGACAATTCTTTATGACTTGCTAGAATACAGTCAACCATTCAAAAGATACAAAATGCCTAAGGGTGTTCGAAGCTAGCTAATCACCTTGTTAGATTCCCTCTTCACTTCTTAAGGCTTGTCGTCCCATGATTTGTCATGTCTTGTCAGATCTTCCAAGCTTTGTCGTAAACTGTTTCATCTTTGAAACTTACTTGGCAACTTGGCAAGAGTTTTGCAGTCCATTTGGTTGCGAGCGGCCCAGCCCTTACAAACCTGGTATTCAAAAGTCTTGACCTCATTTTTGTTTTTGTGTATTTTTTTGTTTTTGTTCAAAACGTCTGTCAAAGCTCCTCCGCCTGACAGCCACTTTCTGTGCACCTCCTTTGAATCTGATATTGACGAAGTTTCTTATTCCATCGTGCCTGTTGGGTACATAGCTCAAGACAGCAAACAAGCTTGTCGCGAAGTTGAAGTTGATGCACTTCGTGCGCTGCAGGCAGAACCTGACAAGCGACTCCGGGTGCGATTTAGAGAAACAAGAAGGGTTCCGTGACAAACATGGCTGCTTCCCCAATTGCACACATCCAACTGAGCCACCTCATCCCCCAAGAAGGCGAAACCGACCCGAACTACGTATCAGCTGTCACGAAGCTAATAGACGCGCTTCAAAATGAACACGTTTGTCTGCTGAAGCTTGACGCTGCAGAAGCAGCGACTCTCAAGAAAGGTCTGGTGTACGCTTCCGGTACTCTTGAGAAGCAGAGAAATCTAGTGGACTCGAAGAAGCTGGGTGGGGAAGCTCAGCTGAACGGCGACATCGTCGGCGGGTATCATGCGCTGCCGGACCAGGAGATCTACAACGTCATGCTGGGTGAAAGGTAAGGCTGTCTTCAACACTTAGGGGAATGGATAGGAGGTGAAAGTTCGAAACAATTGGCTAGGCACCAGTTTAAGCAGACGGTACTATCTTTCATTAGTCTACTAAAAGATTGCGAAGCTTGTTTATGAATATAGTTTGTTCTGTTGAGATTCGTTGTGCTTAGCGCGCTCGTCACTATTCTGCAGGCTGGTTTGGCTTCTGCTCCTGGTCTTTTGTTTCGTGCAAATATGTCGTTTTGCCTCGCCAGTGTTGGTCCTGAAATTTCAACGACAACACAATCGTTCAAGAGTCTGAAATACTAAGAAGGAGACCAGCTCATTTTCAACTTTCCGTTTCGGGCCTCGCAGCACAGGACAGAGTTTGACTCCCCCCGATTGGCAACGCCTGATGCTCCGAGCATTGAGAGCTCTTGATAAAGGCTTCCGTTTGATCCCAATCAAGTCAAGCAACTATCCGGTGGAGTCTATATCGTACATGTTCCTCAAGCTGTCGCCTTTATATACATTTTGCGCACAGAGGCAGATCAAAACCGCGGATTTTGCAGGCCGCACGACCAAGCCCTGGTCACGAGCTTCCGCATGCTGAGCGACGCCTCTCGCCGCGTTCTGCGCGCGCTCGCATGGGCGCTCCACGTGGACACGTCACACTTTGAGCCGCTACTCGACAACGCGCCCCTGCGCCCACTGCACCACATCCATGCTCTCCTTCTTCCGGTACAATGGGGCTGTCGTGAAAGCAGAAGGTGGGGAAAGCGCTGCTTGTCCCAGGCACATCGACCAGGGGCTGCTCACCTTCGTCACATCAGACAAGCCAGGCTTGGAGGTGCGTGATGCCGTCAGTTGTCGCGGATGATCGTCCAAAGTTGACAGCTTTCAGGTCGGATCCAGCAATTCAGTTTGCACGGCCGGCCGTACGTATGAGACTGCAAGGTCCAGGTATCATTTTACAAGAGGCATTGTTCAGGAAGCGGGTGCGAGAACAGACTTATAGTAGGTCTTCTTTAGTCAAGAGAATTCCGTATGGACTCGAGTTTCTTTCTTTTCTATCAGCGGCTGGCGTTGCTCCAAGTCTTCTTCTGATATTCTGCCGAGCTTGACAAAGCCTATCACGTTGCCTGAACTGAGCGTCGCTTGATTCGTCACCCATAATGGCCCAAGACTGATCCCGTTTCCGTTCGGACGTGGGGCAACACTGTTCTTCTTCAAGTTTCGCATCTCTTATATTCGAAGAGTGCCACCCAACCTGCAGGTAACCGCGAACCAAGTGCTACCGGGTTACCTTACTTGTGTACTTTCAACGTGTAGGTCTTCTCCAAGGGGAGCTGGACGCTCGTCGACGCCGATCTCGCCCCCGACGAGCTCGTTCTCTTCCCCGGGCAGGCGCTGACGGAAGCCACTGCCGGCCTCATAACAGCCGCCGAGCACCGCATCGCCCACGTCAGCAATGCTGATACTGACGTCAGCGGTCCGTCGGCGGTTCAGGGCCGCCTTTCCGCGGCCTTCAAGTGCCGGCCCCGTCTCGATGCAACGTTCGACCGCGGCCCGATCTTTGCGGCACACACCAGCGTGGGGAGCGCGTATGTGAGAGACAAGAGGCTATTGCCGGTGGCGGCTTACGTGGCGGATATGACGTTGCGGTATGAGTCCGTCAACGACGTGAAGGTCAAGAAGGTGAGCAAGGTTGGTATACCTAACTTGGAGAGGTGTCCTGTGACCAGTGTTTACCGGTGTGAACTACCTCAAACAAACTCGATGCAGCTTGGGGTCTCAGAAAAGGATGCAAAACGTTAACGAGTCTGGCTGGATTTAGGACCCTCTCTCATGACCCAATTCCGCGTGGGCATGTTTTTGGACTTGTTGCTGGGTCTTCCATCAGTCAGCGACAACGGACAGAAGGTAATACCAATTCTGCGTCGATTTGGTGTCCAGGGCCGCGCCCTTGGCAAGCAAGAGGTCCAACCTTGAGGGCAGACACGTCAAAAGCACATTGACGTTTAGTCATTTTATGACCAGAGACTGGCACTTGCATGACGAAGCGCTGACGTCGGCCGCACACTCAATTGCTGAATGCAGATTTCCCTCTCGTTAAACTCTCTAGAATCCTTCCTTGTCCCCGTTCTGGATGCCTTTCATGTATTGCAGTGTTTTCTGAAACCACCATCTCAAATACGAAGTTCTCTGAATCTTCCAGCTTCCTGACGACATTCCCTAAGCTTCTTCATTTTGTGGCTTGTTTGCGGTTCCCTGATTTTCAAATGTGGCATTTGTCGGAACATAATTTGTGATCTCCATTTCGATCTCAAGCTGTCTCCTTACAGGAGGATCATGCCGGTGAGTACGGAGACGGCGCGAGCATGGCGGCACCTCTCGACCAGAAATTGAAAGTGGAAGACTGCAAGATCGGCCCGCCTCTCGCCCACAAAGTGAAAGTTGAACCTTATGAGCCCAGCGCGCCTCCCAACAAAAAAACGAAAGTGGAAAAGTACAATCTCAGGGCGCGACCGGTGGCCTCAGTGGGGGACAAAGAGAAGGCTCTGGTATGCACACCTATCTTCCATTTTCTTGTTTCGTTTCACATTTTTCTCGACATGATATCTGGCCCCTTTCACCATGGAATGTATCTAGCGGGCCTTGGGATGGGCTAGCTGAAAAGCGATTACATGTCCAGTAACCAGACTTAGACGGTAACCAGCCCAAGAACGAGGTGAAAATCCGGTTAGTAGTCCAATAAACCTGAGACTCAAGTCCATCAGTCAGCCTGGTTAGCAGCTACAATCACTTGTGCAGACGTTTTTGGAGGTTCGTGAAACTTAAGTGATCGAACAGGCGAGGACGAGAAGGTGCTTGTCCAGTACAACAAGCCTATGTCTCTGCGGCTGGAGAAAGTGCGCGGGAGTTATACTTGACCTTTCATGACAGCCAGGAGCTTTGTATATGTAGCAGAGCACTGCGTTGAATGCGCTATATTTCGGTGAGAACGGCAGGTAACCTGAACAAAGCTGCTGGAGAGGTTTGGCTTCTTACGTAAACTCATTTGTACCCCGGACAGTACCGCAATTCAGGGCGCCGCTCGACAGTCGGCCACCTTCTTTTGTTGCCAGTCACGAGCTGGAAATGGAGTCGCCATGCAGAGAGTGAAAAAGCTCCTTGCTGTCTGTTTCAATGCAGCGGATCAAGGCTCGGGAGGCTGTAACGGAGACCTCGCGCATATCCAGACGAAAGGATTGAAGGACAAAAACCATGCACAAGGCTCCGCGACCCGGGTTTGAAAGCAATGTAGAAAAGCAGAGCATCGGATGGCGAAGGCGTGTTTGACTTAGAGGAAATCAGGATAAGGCATCAAGTCTTGCTTCTCTTTTTGGTTGCAGCCTTGGCAGGCAAAGCGCTGGAGACCGCGGCGCGCAGGTTACCTGGATCAAAGTAGAAGAGGACGAGGCCGAGTAAACTTGAAATCGAGCAAATCTCAGCAGTACAACCTCGAGCGTAATCCAGATCTAGACTTCTATCATTCTGCCTTTAGTTGCAGCCGATGAAGGAGCGTTTGCCCTTGCCCGGAGAACCCACTGCGAAAGATTGAAGGAGTCGAGTTCCGGACTTTGTGGGGCGCAAAGGGCTAAAAGCTGTACAATACCCATTCAGAGACGATTTATTCGTTTCTTGGTTTCTGCTGTAGTAGCCGTTCAAACATCGCCAACATAATCAAAGACTACCCGTAATGATTGAAACCCGTAACGGGCGACTGCAGACAGTGTGCTTGAACGGACAGGCATTCCGACTTGGATTACAAGAAGGCCGCCCCTGTGAAGTGAAGGCCCTTGCATTGATGTGCTGAAAGCACTGCAGCATCTAGTGCATGAGACTTCAAGTCCAGTTGATCATGAACTGATATCGATCAACTCACTTGTAAAGGTCCTGCACGCAGTCCGGCGAGTTATTGTACACCACAATATTGCTGCGCTGCTGAGCTTTGCCATTGGCAGTGAACTTGAGCAAGCTTGTCGGAAAGGCTGTAGGATACATCTGCAAAGGCTTCAAAGGTGCTGCAACATTTCAACATTCAAGACGCCTGAATGCATCTTTGGATGTATCAAGTGTACATTTGTCTACAGCTTACAGACGTCACGGTGACAATAAGGACAGGTGATACCTGGGTAAATGACGTGGTTCATTGGCAGTAAGCTTTACTGGCTGTGCCGGCCTCAGTCGTATGCTCGTATGCGACACTGAAGCTGAATTGACGAGGCACTTTGAAAGACAAGGCCCCCGGATAAGGCTTCCGCTGTTCCGTATTCTAACAGCAAGCCTGCTGAGTTCCGGGAAACTGAATTTGAACCGAGGTGCAGGCGGTTAACAATCGATCACGACGCGCGCTGAATTATCGACGGGCAGCGATCGGACACTTGTCCCGGCAGGTTTGGCACGCCCGTCCTGAGTCTCTCCTCCAGCAAGCCAAATGAAGTTCGGTGTTAAATTTGGGCGAATCACAGCGCGCCACGTCATACCCCCCAGAGCCTAAAGGTGTGATAATGTCGGGAGGGTCGTACCAGGGGTCGAAAACCTGAGGTGGGGGCCGGGAACGGACCCAAGTGGTCCCAACCCGATCACCGGGCACTCGGGCACCCTGAGTAGGTTACTTTAGGGAGGATTTTGCTTCTCCAGAAAGTCGATTACAAAATTGCATCTTTTTCAGGTATGGCCTCATATACATACATATATTAGCAATTGGGTCGGATGAGCGAAACTCTGTATTACTAATCTGTTATATTCTCTTCTCCAGAAAGTCAA